ATCGGGGTAGAGGTGTACAAACTAAGCATGCAAATGTGGGCATTACAGCACTCACCTTCTGACATTCTTGCTCACAAAGTCTTTTCTCCAGTTATAAAAGACTGTAATTTGAGAGACTCATTATCTGAGACTTTGGGGTGGAGGAGGAGAAAAAACAATGAATGCTTATTGTAGTGAACACTGTAAAATGTGCTGCTGCTTTTGAGTTTTTGACAGGTTTAATTATTTGTGAGAATTGGTTATATAGTTCTATATTAATTGTAGTGCCACACATTTTATCTGTGGCTACAATCATGTGCAAATTTAAGAAAGCTCTGGCCTATTGTTTCATTCAGTCGTGTGATGGCATTGTAGCTTCAAATCAGCTGTATGTAGCAGCACCATGTTTTGAAAACAAAATTAGCAGTTTAAAAAAAACTGTTAACGTTCCTTAAATGTCCTTTTAAATACCCTAACAGAAATACTAGTGTAACAGAGCAGTAATTGAGATCTGACAGGCCAGTGGGTTTTCATTAATTTTATCTTTGCTCAATATTTTATATTTTCATCTGACTTTAAGTGGGACTCCACTTTCAGCGTTACTTTTCTAAGAATCTGTAGAAATATAGTTTTTATACTATATTGCAGTAATTCATTGAATTACAACACACATCTTTACAGCAAAAAGTATACAGGGGAAACTATTTTTCTTTCCCTGGGAGTGGAAGAAAACCACTGTGTTTAAAGCTGTTCTACTGTAAATTACTGACCTTTTCTAAGCAAATACAACTAGATTAAAATCATAACCCAATAAACTGAAAACAATTCCTAATTGCTATACCAGATATGCTATATATAAAACATTTTGAATTTTGATTATGTTCTGATGGAGTTGGACATTCTGTGGTATCCTGAAGAGTGCTATATTGTATAAATTGTTTCCCTGTTGATTACATTCCCCTTGTTATGATCATGTCTGTCTACACCACAAATAGTTAGTCCAGACTGGAAAATGAAAATCTGTAGTACTTAAAGGCTATGAGCTCATATTTATTTAAAAGTTGAAGTCTGCAATGGTTATTGGAAAATGAGTGCGTAATACTAAATTCTAGGATGTGTGCTGTTGTATTTCTTTAGGGTAAATTCTGCTAATTTTCCTTTACACAGTTATACTTAAAGATGATGTGTAATCAGATAATGATATAGCTCTGTTCAGGATGGATTGACTACATTAAGCCAAAATAAATTATAGAATTTAAGCACACACAGCTAAATGCCTTAATGATAAAACAATATTTCAAGTTGATAAGATTTCAAGTATTGAAACAGAATTACATACACACGTTATCATTTGACTTAATTTTTTATGTTGAGGTAGAACTGAACTCGTCTGCTAGCTCTTATAGAACTGAGTATCCACATGGTACAATGTGTTTTGATTTTAGCAATGTATTTTGAGTTAGGATTAATAATACAATCCTTACAAAATTAATTATATTGTGTCGCTGATAGGTAGCTAGAAATTTTAATTCAATTGAGGATGCTAAACTAATATAAGTTGGTTTTATCTTTCTTTGGGATTGATTGTATTATGAAGAGTAGATATTAGCCCAATGATGAATTCAGTCAGTGGTTACATGGAACTTACAGGAAAAGCCCAAATGAAAGGTGTATTTCTGAGTCTGTAGATACACAGCTTCAGTATGTTTTCCAAGCAGCAGCAGAGTGATACTAACAAGATTTTACTCATTTTTATTCCTTTTCACAGCTGCTATTCAGAACCTTATGGGCAGCAGCAAAACATTAATATTTCTGGGGAAGCTATGGGGCACCACAGAGGCAGGCACTGGAATTAGTCACATGGGAGGAAGATCCCAAAATAATGTGGAGGGACAGGATGGTGGAGACTTTTTCTTTTCCCATCCCCTCTGTCTTGCAGCAGCCAGGAGATGCCACAAGAGGGGTAGGGTAAAAAAGGCTCTTTTACCCTTGCAGCAGCCAGGAAGCTGTGGCAAAGATAAAGAAAGCTCTTTCTCCCTTCCTGCAACTAAAGTGGAAGGATCTTTATTTAATCAGTCATCTAGTAGCCTAGATCTGGTGTGAAAGATGGAGGTCCAACCATGTTCCAGAAACAGCACCCTGGTAAGAATCCTAGTTGTCCCCTCCTTACTCAGAACCTGAGGTGATGGTAAATGGGGACTGGGCTTCTCACCACAGGATTGCACCTGAAGCTTGGTTGAGGAGGCTTCCTCACCCCCTGTTTTTTTCCATCTCACTCTATTAGATTTCATCCCTAGCTAATAGGTGTCAGCTAGGTGTCAAATTTCAAATAGATGTCAAATTTTTCAACTCCTGATTATTTTTGTTAATTTCTCTCAAATACTTCATTGGTATTTTGCTATTATATATCTTTTAAAGTAAACTTCCTAGGGAATCTCTTGAAGTATACATCAAGGGGTTAAATTGGGCATTGGAATCGTACTCTAGCTCATGCCTTCCTACTTTTTACAATTTGCCTATGCAGGGAAATCCTATAGAATAATCATTTAACTGAATTGTGCCTTTGTTCCTGCAAGAAAGCACTTTCCCAGTGTGGTGTCAAGTATCAGAGGGGTAGCCGTGTTAATCTGGATCTGTAAAAAGCAACAGAGAGTCCTGTGGCACCTTTAAGACTAACAGATGTATTGGAGCATAAGCTTTCGTGGGTGAATGCCTGCATCTGACGAAGTGGGTATTCACCCATGAAAGCTTATGCTCCAATACATCTGTTAGTCTTAAAGGTGCCACAGGACTCTCTGTTGCTTTCCCAGTGGTAATTGTAGCAGTAGCTTGAGTATAGAGTGATCCTCCTTCATTTCATGTTCTAAATGTTGATCCTGATCTAGCTAAGATAGTGGAAGTATGCTGAAGCATAGGCACGATTACAAAATGAATGATCAGTTTCCTTAGCAATGGAACGAGAGAGATTGAACCAAAGAGTTCAGGTTAGGGGGAAGGAAAAGTACTACTGGTAACTGGGAATGGTAGAAGAAAAAATATCTTCTCTTTTCACATCTCTTCCTGTTTGAAAGCATTTGGAAAAGAGATTCCTTAGCAGACTCAAATTAAATTGAAGCCTTACTTGTTATATATAGAAGTGCCTCTTTTAAATGTCATTTAATTTATCATTTTCATAATTAGACCTTTCTTGTGAGTGTATGTATATATTACAATGTTTGCTTAGTAGCTAAAGTTAAGTAGCAAAAATAGTTTCATTTATAGTGTATTGTCACACTCATAACTTTCTAAAAAATTCTCTCCTAGTTCTGGAATTTTCCAGGCTTGGTCTCTGCTGAAAGGATATGTTTTTTTTGTTTCTATATTCTAAAAGAAAACTCAACAGGTATTCCTAAAAAAATTGCTAGTTTACTCATATATCTCACAAATGGCAGGAATTTGAGAGTAAATTATGCTTGTCTGGAAGTACATACATCTTCATGTTTTGAGTGGAGGGAGTAGAGTGGTTGGATTATGGTTATAAGTAGGTCTGGCTGAAATTTTTTAACTAGAATATGTCCCGAAGTAAAATTTGTTTTTTTGCAGTGTTGCTGAAATTTTCAGTTTCCATGGGGAAAATTGAAATGACTGCTCTCTGGCTGCTTGCCTGGAAGGCTCTTGTCAATTTCACTTTCCGCCTGTGAAATTGACATAATTTTTTTTTTGGCGGGCAAGCTCCAAGGACTGAGAGGCAGAGCCCCTGGGTGCACTTCCTGCCTTCTTGTTCTGGGGTTTGAGAGTCAAAGAGCCCAGGCACATGTGAAATTGACATATGAGCCTTCTTGGAGGGTGGCTTCTTCTGAAACAGAATTTTGCTTTGAATCCCTTTCTGTGAAAAAAAAATTGTGTTTTTTGACAAATTTGGGATGAAATAAAAAAAATTCGAAATTTGTTGTGGAAAGGGATTCTCTTTTTTTGCCTAGCTGTAGTTATAAGTGATTGAAAAGTCCCTTCTGAGCATGCTTAATAGGCTTTTAGCAAAGCTTGGTGGTGCCCGTCCTTTGTTGTGAGGTTCTCCCTGCTCAGTCGAACAGGAACGGGGGAGAGGAAGGGGGTTGCTACTCATAAGCAGCCTTTGGGACTATTCATTGCTATAACATTAGATGCAGGAAAACATTATGGGCAAAAAATTGTGATTTGTGTGATTTTCTTATTTGCATGGTGCAATCTGGTGCTTTTCAGACATGCAAGAAGATATGGAGTCTAGTGCTTGCAATCTAAGGCCATGTCTACACTGAAAAGTTAGATTGACCCAGCTAAATCACTCACACGTGTGAAGAATCCACACCACAAGCAGCTTAGTCAAATTGACTACCCCACCCCCCACACACACACATTCCTCGTAGACAACGCTAGGTTGATGGAAGAATTCTTCCATCTGCTGGACTGCTGCAGTAGTGCCACTGTAGTGTTTCAAGTGTAGACAAGCTCTTGGGAGGCAAAGAAATGGGGGAAAGTGATACAGCATGAAAGTAAAGTGATAGGGGATCTCCACATTTTTGCAGCATTTTCCAGTAAGGTTTCATTTAAAAAAAAGGTGTTTCTATTTCTTTAAAGGTGTGACAGTACAAATGATAGAGATTGAGAAGATCTATTAGGCAATAAGGTCTCTATCCCTATCTTTTCTACATTATTTTTTCCTCTGTTTCAGAGCTATAAAGTCAAAAGTATATAGCTCTTAGCTCTGTACCCAGTGTGTGCTGTCTTTATGAGCCTATATCTGATGCACTTTAATATAATGGCAAGAACCAGGGATGGTTGTTTTTCCTTTCCTTTTTCAAATTGTGTGCCCTGTAATCAATTTTGAAACCACTTGTAACTGAAGCCTAATGTGCTATGACCCTTATGCTGTCTCAGGCTGCCTGCAATAAATGTGCTTGAGAAGCAGGGTGAGCTCTGGGCTGCAGAAAAAGCATTTACTCTATTTGTATTAGCGTGCCTAAAGTACAATACATCTAATTCCAACTTTGTTTTTATCCTTTTAGGACTGGGGTTAGATTTAGATAAACTTCCCAGTCAGCTGAGTTTCTCTGACTGGCCTGAAATGAAGAAAATGTTTGCAGCTTTATTTTCCAAGAAGACACAGGCAGAATGGTGCAGGATCTTTGATGGCACAGATGCCTGTGTGACGCCTGTTTTATCTTTGGATGAAGTTGCCTTATACCAGCATAACAAAGAGCGTGGTTCTTTTATCAAGAATGATCAGGAAGAGATAAGTCCTAGACCATCTCCTCTTCTTTCAAGGACTCCAGCTACTCCATCTTCCAGAAGGGATCCTTTTATAGGAGAACACACAGAAGAGATACTTCTAGAATTTGGCTTTACCAAGGAAGAGATTGCTAAACTTCACTCTGAAAAAGTAATTGAATTCAATAAGCCAAAAGCAAATTTATAATATCTACCTATGCAAATCAGAAAAGTTTCAGACTGTCACCATATGATTTTATGCATTAAAGTTGGAATTACATGAGGAAATGTTAATGTAGCACCACTTTTTCAGGGCCGGGGGTGGAGGGGTAGGGGTAGGGTGTCACTGTTAAATTAATGCATTAATTGAGGACTAAATGTACAAACTGTATTCCTAATTGGATTAGAATGCCTACCGAATGTTACCTTTGAAATTTTGTCCTGGGGGTGTTTGTTTTGAAAAGATCTGCAATATTTGCTTGTTATAATGGTTTATGTAATGTTTAATGTTTCCTTCAATAAGTGTATTATAGGAAATGTGTGGTTGTTTTAATCCTTGTGTTTTTAATATATGTTCTAATTAGCTGAAGGCAATGATTTTTATAAAATACTGTTATACTTCATAAAGAGGTTGCTGTGTTGTTCATTTATACATTTGAGAGAGAGCTCTTTTGCCTGTATTTTCACAGTATTGATATAAAATTAATTTGCATTCTCCTCTCAGAATATACATTAAAATACCATTATTTTGGCATGATCTGCTTATAGTGGTATATGACAGAGCAACTATATTTAAAGCCTGGCTACCTTTCTATCGTACTGTTAGTCCCATGACTGTATTACATTTGGAGTCTTAATTTGTCTGGAAAAATTGCCCTGGGTTGAAATTTGATATATTAAAGTGTCTGCCAATAAGCAACCCTTTCCCCCTATTCTGAAAAAAATGGAAAATAGGTGTAACCATATGAGTAATAAACAATAAGTTACCACATATAGACCATAGTCTCTTTCAAAGTTAAAGTGGCCATTTGAAACCTTCTGACACATGAAACATTCTGGCACGTCTTATTCCAAGTACAGTATAAATAAAGCAAATAGTTACAACAATAGTTATTGCATAGATGCCACAACCTCTCTTAAATTGGTAACTTTATGCATTTTTTCCAAAAGCAGTTAGATCACATGATGCACTGATTGTCTGACTTTAAAAAGCTAACCAAAAAACACAATTCAAAACCATTTGCATTCTAGGAGCAGATACATTGTTTCAATGCCTCTGCACCTAGAATGCAAATGGTTTTGAACCTTTATTTGTTTTAAAGCCAGACAGCGCATCATGTGGTCTAGTTGCTTTAACTTTAAAAAAGGCTGTAGTATCTATGAGTAATTATTGTCGTAACTATTTTCTTTATTTATGCTTGGAATAGGACACATCAGAATGTTTTAGTGAGAGCAATTAAGGTCTCACAGAGTGTTTGCTCTTTTAGGATTCTATTCAGTATTTACTAAAACTGAGGTATACTGTAACTCATCTGGCCTCTGTGTAGTCAACATTACTGCTGTGAAATTTTTTTTTCTTATGGTACTTAATGGCTGCATGGGCTTGGGAAAACTTTTATAAACACAGGGTTATGATCAAATAAATTAGACAAATATGTGACAAAAGATATATTGGGTCCCTGGATGATAACAATCAATCTTCCACATTTTGGAAGATATTTTTTTGTCTGAAATTGTCCTAATCCATATCCATGATCAAATAATAATTTACTCTAGTTCAGATCCTTCTGGTCAAGCCAGGGAATTATAAATGTGATCAAGTCGGGGAAACAATCTATGGTGTATATTTAGGGCCTGATCCAAACTCACTGAAGTCAATGAAAAGACTTACATTGACTTCACTGGATTTTGGAACAGATCCCTAATTCAGGTATATAACCTGATCAGTGGTGTTGATATATCAAGTACAGATTTTTACTGAAACTTTCAGTTTTCACTTCAGACCTATTACTTTTTCATGTAAAAAGTTTTTCTTTAGACTCTCTTTCAATAAATTGAGAGATTCTGAAGCACCTTCATCTTTGATTGCTTAGCACCAACAAAAATGTCTCCCTTGATTTAGTTCTGCATGAAATGGATGCAAAAATAAGCCCCAGACATCTATCTTTTGGCAGATCTTTGCTAGGCTTTGTATCGCTTATACTTTTCCACCATTGTAGCAACAAGGAGCAATGGTCTCAAGTTGCAGTGGGGGGAGGTCTAGGTTGGATGTTAGAAAAAACTATTTCACTAGGAGGGTGGTGAAGCACTGGAATGGGTTACCTAGGGAGGTGGTGGAATCTCCATCCTTAGAGGTTTTTAAGGCCCAGCTTGACAAAGCCCTGGCTGGGATGATTTAGTTGGTATTGGTCCTGCTTTGAGCAGGGGGTTGGACTGGATGACCTCCTGAGGTCTCTTCCAACTCTAATCTTCTATGATTCTATGATCATACTATGACAGACAGACAGTAGAAACAAAACATCTATCCTCAACTATCTATAAAGAGCTGCACTGACAAAATATTCCAGGTCTTTCCTGTCCCACAGTTCAATTTATTTGTTACCTGTGCTGACCTAGTTTATAGTTGAGTGGTGTGGGTTTCTGTGTTTTAATTGGGGGGGTGGCAAATGGGAGAGTTAATTACTCTAAAAGTGGGAGCACAGCTTATTGCAAGACTGTACTCAAAGAGTAGTTATCGATGGATTGCTGTTAAATGGGGAGGTGGTATCTAGGGGGCCCCACAACGGTCAGTTTTGGGTCTGATACTAGTGAATAGTTTCATTATGATTTAGATAATGGAGTGGAGCATATGCTTATACAATTTGTGGATGCCACCAAGATGGGAGGGCTTGCAAGCACTTCGGAGGACAGGATTAGAATTCAAAACAACTTTGACAAATTGGAGAAATGGTCTGAAATCAACAAGATGAAATTCAGTAAAGACAAATGCAAAGTACTGCACTTAGGGAGGTAAAATTAAATGTATATCTACAAAAATTGGGAGTAACTGGCTAGGTGGAAGTACTGCTGAAAAGGGTCTGTGGGTTATAGTGCATCACATTGAATATGAATCAACAACGTGATGAAGTTGCAAAAACGGTTAATATGATTCTAGGGTGTATTAAGAGGAGTGTTGTATGTAAGACCCGGGATGTAATTGTCCCACTCCACTGGGCACTGCTGAGGCATCAACTGGTGTACAGTGTCCAATTCTGGGTGCCACACTTCAGGAAATATTTGAACAAATTAGAGAGAGTCCAGAGGAGAGCAACAAAAATGATCAAAGGTGTAGAAAACCTGACCTGTGAGAAAAAAATTAAAGGGCATGTTTATACTTGAGAAAAGAAGACTGAGGGGGGATCTGATAAATCTTCAAATATGTTAAAGGCTTTTACAAAGAGGATGGTGATCAGTTGTTCTCCATGTCCACTGACGGTAGGACAAGAAGTAATGGGCTTAATCTGCAGCAAAGGAGATTAAGGTTAGAGATTAAGAAAAACTTTCCTAGCAACAAGTTTCCAACTAGGAGTAGTTAAGCTCTGGACTAGGCTTTCCAGGGAGATTGTGGAATCCCCATCACGGGAGGTTTTTAAGAACAAGTTGGACAAACACCTGTCGTGCATGGTCTAGATCTAGATTCTCAAACTGGGGGTCGGGACCCCTCAGGGGGTCGCAAGGTTATTACATGGGGGGTCGTGAGCTGTCAGCCTCCACCCTAAACCCCGCTTTGCCTCCAGCATTTATAATGGTGTTAAATATATTAAAAAGTGTTTTTAATTTATAAGGGGGGGGGTGCACTCAGAGGCTTGCTATGTGAAAGGGGTCACCAGTACAAAAGTTTGAGAACCACCGTTCTAGATTCATTTGGTCCTGCCTCAGTGCAGGGGGCTAAACTTGATGATCTCTTGAGGTCCCTTCCAGTCCTACATTTCTATGATTAATTTATCCTGTATTTGGTAACTCAAGTAGCTCTTTCACTTCTAGTGATCTTGTAACAATAATAAGTACAAAATATTCAGATTAAATTTATTCCCCTCCCCCTTTGACAGAGTTCCTATTGTGTACTCAGTACAAGAAGTATGGTCTTTGCCCTAAATGATTTATTTAAATGCAAAATGTAAGCAAATATGAATGGTGGAATATCCCTTCAGTGTATAATCTCTGATCAGTAACAGGTAAGGAAACTTTAGAAATGACTTTTCTTTCCCTTTAGAGAACAAGACCTTGTGGTTAAAGCACAGAACTTGAAATCAAGGGATCTGGATTCTGTTTCCCAGCTCTGGCACTTCAAGTTATGAGCCAGTGATAATACTGCACTGGCGTATTGGGAGGGTTAATTCATTTATCTTTGTAAAGTGCTTTGAAATCATACCAGGAAAGGTGATTTCTGGAGCAAATCTCCCTCCTCCTCCTCCTCCTCCTCCTCCTCTGTGGGTGCTGAGGTCCCCTAGGCAGCAGAACCTGTGTGGATCATTGAAAGCCAGGGGAGTGCAAGCTTTGGGGAGGGCTATGCAGGACATGCATAATACCTATCTGACACAGAGCTCTGTTCTGTAGCAGTTCTCTGTCAAAGGAACAGTGGAGATGGCTCTGTGGATCCTTCTTCTCTGGATCTCTGGAGGGGGTATGTTCGGCCCATAGTAGCGTAAGTGACTTTACAGCTATTCAGCAGTCTGGGAGAAGCATTTTTGCTTCCCACTATCATGGAGAATGAGCACGCAACCCAGTATTCAGGCTGTTTGCTGAATGGAAGGATGTGGGCCTACGTGCTTAGTATTATAATTGCCTTATAGCAGTAAGAGTAGTTTTGTTTTCAAGCCAAACCTATGCCCCAGCCCACGAGACATGGGCACCCATTTTCTCTACTTTCCCTGGAAAGATAATCCTTCACTCATGGATAGTTGGGAGCTCTCCAGATAGCCAGGAGCTCAGTTCTGCTAATCTTCATATACACTTCCCCACCCCCTCCTTTCCTAACTTGTGATCTCAGTGGCAGGAAAGTATGTGAGCCCCTCCTCCACCCCAGACCTTTCCCTCTCAGCATGTGAGCCAGGCTCCCTGTCATCCAGAGTTAGAACAAACCTTCTCTGAGCCACTTACAGGAACATCAGGCTTAGCTAGTCCAATGACTTTAACGAAACAGGATTTCAGTGCGGGACTTCCACCACCATCTGAGCTGGGCATTGCTGGCATGGACAGCAGCAGAGGGAAGGAAAAAGCTGTGTTGGAATCCTTGGCAGGAGGAGACCCCTTTGGATCAGTGGAGCCTGTCAAAAAGCCCTCGGGAAGGCTGATTATGCACAGCATGGCCATGCTCGGCCGGGAGTTCTGCTATGCAGTGGAGGCTGCCTTTGTCACCCCGGTGCTGCTCAGTGTGGGGCTGCCCAAGAGCCTCTACAGCCTGGTGTGGCTCATCAGCCCCATCCTGGGCTTTGTGCTGCAGCCTGTGGTGGGATCAGCCAGTGACCACTGCACCTCTGGCTGGGGCAAGCGGCGCCCTTACATCCTGGCTCTGGGCATTATGATGTTGCTGGGCATGGCTTTGTACCTCAATGGGGACATGATGGTCTCAGGTGAGTGAGCTGCACGTGCTGAGCTAATAGACAAAGCTCATCCTGCTTCTTGAACCAGAAAGAAAAGACGGGTTTTTTTTGTCTGTAAATAAAGGTGAGAACAGGGACATCACATTACTTGGTCTTGCTGAAAGAGCTGGGGAACAACATGATCTTTTCCAGGTTCCCTAATGCTGCCTGTTATTTGCCAGATTGTTCTGTACTCTGTATGTGCGAGTACAATTTATTGTATGTTGGTGCAGTTGCTTCAAAGTTCATCTAAGTAATGTCCAGGCCCAGACAGGTTTAAAGAGCTAACACATGACTCGTTTAATTTGACAGTAGATTTTATTTGTATGGTTCAAATCTGGTATCTGCAACTGAATAAGTATTGCCCTTCCCCACCTCCCTGCTCCAAAACCTCTAAACCAGGGTTGGTGTTCATAGCAAAGAAAGTAATTATTCATGCATGTGCTTCATTTGGGAACGTGTAGTGCTGGTGAATAATAGATAAGAACAACTCCTTGGGGATTATTTTGCATTGGAAATCTTGAGCAAAACTCTGTAAGAATAACATCCTAGAGCCCATTATGTTTCAGCTCCAGATGTAAGTGATTGAAGTTTAGCAGCCCAGGTGGAAAGCTACCTTTGCTATTATAATGGGCTATTCAGGAGAAGAGTACATTTCTCTAAACCAATATCGGATGTGCTGCTAGCTCTCCCTTGAGCTGGGTTAACTGGGATGTGTGTACCCAGATGAAGACATTGTTTGCAGGCACTGTGGGAGAAATAAAATATCACTGTCAGGGTCACGGCTCTGTTGCATTTAGTCTATAAACTACTGCAAAGTAGGGGGCTGTTGTAAGAGTGAGTTTATTTTTCTTTTTGCAGCTTTGATCCCCGAGCGAGGCAAGCAGCGGACCTGGGCCATAGTGATAACCATGCTGGGCGTAGTGCTCTTTGATTTTGCAGCTGACTTTATCGATGGTCCCATCAAAGCGTATTTATTTGATGTTTGTTCTCATCAGGATAAAGAGAAGGGTCTTCATTACCATGCTCTCCTCACAGGTAAGCAGGCCCCCTTCTCTCACGCACTGTCTCTGGGGGCAGGGAGTGAGCAGTAGGGTTTTTTCCTCTCACTGCACTTCTAATCTTCTTGAAGGAACTGATCATCTGATCCTATGCCTCAGTCACGAGTGATTGTTGCTGGGCTTTTATTCTGGAAAAGGTCAGCTTGTGACTACAGCTGCAGGGATTCTGCTGCCGAAAGCTCCACACACAGACTGAAAGTGACATTTGCAAAAATTCTTACCTAGGGTTAAGGGTGATTGAACAAAGTTGCTCAACATTCTCCCTTCCCCACTTTTCAAAAAGACATATTGAGTTTTGCAGCCTGTTTTGAGTCCCTCCCCGCCCCCCCCCCCCAAGGCAAAAGTTAGTGAATATCATCTGGATTCAGTGTCCAAAGAAGAGAAAAGTAAAGAACAACTGTTGAAAGGAATAACACTCCTTTATTAAAAAGAGAAGGAGAGATGCCTAAGCTGCATCGATTGGACCCAAATTTCAGTGGTATTCAGATGCAGGTTGGGGCCAACTTGTTATATAGATGTACAGACCAAGATGAAGTTAATAGAATCATAGAATTCTAGGGTGGGAAGGGACATCAGGAGGTCATCTAGTCCAACCCCTGCTCAAAGTAGGGCCAATCCCCAGACAGATTTTTGCCCCAGATCCCTAAATGGCCCCCTCAAGGATTGAACTCACAACCCTGGGTTTAGCAGACCAATGCTCAAACCACTGAGCTGTAGATCTGTACATTTTAAGGCCAAATCCAAATTTCCACAAATTTGGGGGGTGTTTGTGTCCAGGGTTTTGGTTCAGTTTGTTACATTTTTATATACTGTGTGAAATTCACTCATGTTGCAGAAGGAGAGGGCAAGGTTCTCTGTTCCCCTTAAGTCCCATGTTGAGGATACACAGGAGATCACAGAAAGTTGCCTGCACTAAAAGGGTCTCCAGCTAGCCCTGGATAGGCCAATATGGAAGGGCTATGATAGGAGCTGACCTGATGGTCTGTGGCATCTATGATTGTTGTTCAATTCCTGAGGATGGAATAGTGGCTACTGGCAAAGATCTGTGCCTGGAGCCCTGGCCCCTAGTTGTGGGAATTTCCTGCCCACCTACATTTTATTCTCATAGAGCCTGATTACTCGGGCTTTTTGCAATTTAAGTTAATTTCATCCATTACGCATACCTAGATAGAAACTGTTTGACAAAGAGCACAACTGTTAGTTACAGGTCTGTCGCATCTTACGCGCATTTAACATGCGCGATTTCAGCTTTACGCAGTCGGCAAAAACAAAACAAAACAGAAAAAAGAGAAAAATAACAATTTTAATCCTGTACCTGTAGTGCGGGCGATTCCGCCCGCCATTGAACTCAATGTAATTTTGACTATACGCGGTTTTCGCTTTATGCGCTAACCGCGGAACGGAACCCCCGCGTGAGATGAGACAGACCTGTATGTGCAAATGAAGATGTGAGTCTCTATAGCACGTACACTACATGCATCCCTTCCTCTTTGAGGTTGTTTTTTCATATGATGACACAATACAGGCCTAATTGCCAAATGCTGAGTTGTGCAGCTGCAAATCTCATTTGTGAGTGACGCTGATCTGTGATGAAACAGACTCCAAATATTAATCTTATTCATTGCTGCACAAGAGGAAGGACCATTTTCCTCAAAAAGACATTCTCAGTGTAATCATTATTATTATTATCATCCATGATATTTCATGTGTCCAGAAGTATTGTAGGCTCAGATCAAGCAAGGATGCAGTCCTTGTGCCGAAAGGCACGCAGTCTAAGTCAACATAACACAATGAACAAGGGTCATAATCAGTCAAACCCCGGTAAAGTGCTTAGTAGACACCAGAGCTTCTCGGTCCACACTGCGAGCGGTTATCCTTGAGAAAAAATACTAGTTACTGTGTTTATTTAATATTGATCACTCAGGGAAAATGTTGATGTTGTTCTTTTTTTAATCCTAAACTAATAATGTATTATTAAAGAGGAATATAGGGAAGTTTTCATATTTCTAACTCCCATGTAAAGATTTATATGCCTAGATGGTGTGGTTATCCATTATGGAGGAATTGTGCAGAGACTATGGGTTTTGTTTCACTTAGGATTTCACTTTGGACTTAAAACATATACATGTTAATGACCCATGCTCTCTCCATTAAGCCATCCAGTCGTCTTGACAGTGTCATAAACTTATACAATGGGGCTCATTTATTAACAAATTATGATTTGCTGCCATAAATACTGATGGGTGCAGTGCAAAAATGTTTAATTACTGGATTTCAATTTAATAACCAAGTTATAAAAGCTATTATAGAACATGACCTACCAGGCCAGACCCATATGGATATATAATCAGGAGTTAACATAATATGAGGCATTTGTCTCTTAAAGAGACAGTACCAGAACATATGTAAAATGGAAGTTTTAAAATACATTCAAATTGCAGTTCTTCTAGGGAACATTATATTCTGTGTTTAAGGTTTTTTCAAGCATAGATACACCAAACTTCTGTAAATAAATAATAACCAGTAGTATCTGAGCTTGATCATCTCTTTTTTAAAAAATTTATGGTGCGGCAAATGCAAATATGTCATTTGTCAACCTAAATTTCTGTTATAGGCCTGTATAAATTTTTTTTTGACATGATCCAAAGATACTGTACTGTCTCATGTTATTTAGACCCTGCTGCTTAACAATATAAATACCAAGGCTCCTTGGGGATGTGGAGCTATAAAACAGAAACTATTTTTACATTGGCATAGATTACAAATAAAAGAATATTCTAATGTTACTCGCACTAAATAAGAATTAAAAAAAATTTATAAGAAAAGAAAAAGGGAAATAAAACCTCAATAAAACATGTAGGGAGCAGGGGAATGATACTATCAATTAAACAGCATTGGTTTGCCCCACACTTTGCAGCAGTGGCACGGCAGTATTGCAGCACTTGCCCAGTGTGCCTTGCTCATAATGTGGGAAGGCCCTTAAAAACCAAGTCTGCAGCCCATCTCGCCCTATGGGGCCCTTTTGTAAATATACAAATTGATTTTGTCAGCATGCCTAGATGCTGCTCGTTTAAATATATTTTGGTGAAATATATTTCCGTACTTGAGCAGACTCCTTAATTCATCAACTGGTTGATGGAAAAACATGATAACTGCTCATTGATGAAACATAGTAATGGCTTATATGAAGAAATTGCTTCTAGTAAAGGTCAGCTACCTGCCATCAGCCAATCATATATCATCTTTGGGCGCCCTGTAACCCCCCCCGGAAAACAATATGTACCCTGACGAAAAACAACACCCCTGCTGGTGCCAAGTACCACCCATGTCAAAACCACCAAGAACACCCCCCACCCAGTAGGCACCCAATTCTCGTAAATAATGAGGAAGCTACCGGGAAAAAGGAACAGACCCCTACTCTTATTTCGCATAAATGACGTATTATTTGTAATATGCTTGCGGTTGGACAGAATAAAGCAGCCTGCGAGCTGCTGCTGAGTGTGACAGTTTTTGGACTGTCATCCCAACGCGTTGGTACGTATTGCAATGAACTGGCCTCAGGCTTGAGTCTGTGAACTAAAATCAATGCGTGGGTGACTTTTTCCACGACAATGCATAGGTAGATCTAAGTGCCTGCGTGCCACAGGGCATGGAGTAGCAGCTGCCAATACAGCCTTTATTTTAATGGTGGTTTTTGACAGGGCCGGCTCCAGACACCAGCTGAGCAAGCTGGTGCTTGGGGCGGCAGATTGTTGGAGGCGGCATTCTGCCCAATCCTAGGGCGGCATGGACGCCTTTTTGTTTGTTTGTTTTGTTCTTGTTCCGCTCCGGCCGCCCTGTAGGGGGCGGCGGCGCAGAGAACCAGAGCGCCCTGCAGGGCAGTCCTCTTCCTTCCCTCCCCGCCGACCGGAGCGGAGCCCTTGCGGCAGGAGGCGGCGCAGCGGGAGGGGCCGCATGGCAGCGCCCCTGCTGTAGCCCAGGCCACCCCCTTCTCTCTCCCGCCCGCTCCCTCCTCCTCCCCCCCCAGCCAGTCCCTCTGCACCCGCGCTCCGGCCACGCTGCAGGTTTTTTTGTTTTTTGTTTGCTTTACCGTTCTGGCCGCCCCGTTTTTTTGTTTTTGTTTTTGCTTGGGGCGGCCAAAAAGCCAGAGCCGGCCCTGGTTTTTGATTTCCCCTTTGGTGGCTGTGTGGTGTGTCTGCCTGTGTGGTAGCAAAATGCAGTGAAAGGAAGCGGCTGCTGGAGCAATAACTGATTATTAAAAACTTATCCTCACACGTCTGCAACTAACTCACCGTTTAGGAATGCGATGGATACAATGCTTATTGTGGTAGTATTAGATTTAATTCAGATCATGGCACTTTCAGTCTAGAGGCCAGGGACTGAGTGGACCATAGGGGATGAACTCCCATCTCAGCCTCTTGAAATGGTCCCTCCAAATCAGGGTTGAAGAACATTGGGGTGGGGTGTGATGGAGCCTGCACTGCTGTAGTCCATGCTGTACTGCTTGTGGGAGGACTTTGTACCCCAGGGCTGTCAATCCAGCATCTCTTATGAACATTAAATTAAATCATTTCATTATTTAAAAACAACAACAAGCTATTGTGTAAGCACTTGGATTTTTATATCCAGACGAACTAGAATTTAGGAAGCTGTTTCATGTCATGACTCGATAACTATCTATGCCAAGGTGTGAATGGGTCCAGAGCCTGCGGCCTTGTGGTTGCAGTCCCTGGCGGTCACCCCGCCTCGTGGTTGTAGTCTCTGGCGGTCACCCCACTTAGCAATTGTGCTGGGGGAAGTAGGGGAACCTGGGTCCTCCTGCTCCACCAGGTTCCAATCCAGGGCCCTGCGAGGCCTGTCCTGTGGCTTTCACTCTGGGGTGCCTTCCTAGGTCACTTCCTAGCTCCCCCTTCCCTGCAGCAGGCTGCAGTTTGTCCTGGCAAACCTCATGTCCTACCTCCTGGGTTGCCCACCTATCTCCGGCCCATAAGAGCTACTGCTCCCTGACGCTCCTCCTCCTGGTCTGGGTCTGGCTGCGTCATCCTCCAGAGCTGGTCTTTCCCCCTGCCCTGTCCATCCCCAACTGGGTTGGCTGGCTCCCCTTTAAATCTGCTCGGCACTGACGGAGGAGTGGGGCCTCCTGAGCCCAGAACTGCTCGTGAATCCTTTGCTGTCCCGTGAGGGGTTTATACACCCAGTCACACAGGGATTCACTAAAAACTCTAATTTCTTGTGATGCCGGGAATTCCCTCATAGATATTGTGACATCTTAATAATAATTCTTCAGTAACATACTGGGGGTTGGGTTTTTGTTTTGTTTTTAATAAATGCCAGTGGAGTTTTCTTTCTTTCTCTCTCCAGGTCTGGGTGGTGCCCTGGGTTACCTAACAGGTGCTATGGATTGGGGGAATTCTGTACTAGGAAGATTTTTGGGATCGGAATTCCAGGTGATGTTCATCATTGCGGCTTTGGTTTTCCTAATCTGTCTTACTGTACACTTGTGCAGCATTCCCGAAGCCCCTCTCAGAGATGACAGTACAGAAACTAAGCTCTTGCTGAAAGTGGATGGACCCTCCGAGTATGGTTCCATCGAGAGCGTCAACAATGGTTATTTAAAACCAGGATATGCTGGAAAAAAGACTTTATCTGAGTTGGGGAAATCCACCGAAACACCACAGACACAGGTAATTGTTTTGTAGCCTGTAACATTCCATTTGGGGAAGGTCATAGCTCAAATCCTGGAGCCTATGATGCAACTGCAAGTGATGTGGTCAGCTAGACCCTCAGGTTCTCTAGAAAAGTAACATGGAAGCAGTAACATTCTTCTAGGGATAGTTACTTTTCTTCAGTTTGTCATTATCAGCCAGATTGGTGAAAACTACAGGACAGGCAGCATTGTTTAGTGCTTAGAGAAGGCAACTGAGGAGCAGGAAATCTGGGTTTTCTATTCTAGACTCTTCCATGGATTCATTATATAATCTCGGGCAAGTTTCTTAGCCGCTGTTTCCCAATATTTCCCCAGATGGGGTTAGCAGTATACCATTTTGTAATGAGCTTTAACACCATATAGTTTAGAAAGAACGAGAAACCCAGCTGCCCTCTGATACATATGAACAGCTCCCATTGAAGTCAATGGCACATACTCATGTAACCTCTAACGGCAAAATATCAGTGTTCACTGCTCTAATTAAGTATGGTATTCAGATCTTGGAAAAGTAAATCCTGGCAATGCTGATTTTGTTTTAATTGCTTCTTAATCAGATACGCCAACTGTGAGTCAGGGGTAAACGACTGACTGCTGCGTTTTGTTACTTAGGGACTTTATATCTATAACTTCTCCAGTGTTCCCCAGGTGGGAGCGGGTGCCGAAGAGTAAATTGACACATGCATTTTGTACGTTCCATTGAGGCATTTTTTTTCAAGCCAAGGCAACTTGGAAAATCGCTGAGATGATTCTCTCTGAAAAACATGGGAACATTGTGTCTCTAGCATACTGCTAGCCAAGTGAAATAGGCAGTCTTTTTTTTTTGCTGTTATGTTGACTAGAAGTGTTAAGAATCTTCATTGCATTGTTGTGGTATCCTAGGAAAATGAAATGCTAATCTATGTGTTTGGTTCCTAACCACGAGTAATGAGCTAGTGAGCTGCTTGTTTTGCTTCCCTTATGTGCAAGTGTCTCTGATTTAAATCTTTGGAAACTAGCTATATCCTGTGGCCAATATGTTCAGATATGGGTGCTTAACGTTAGGCACCTAAATCCTCATTTAGGTTCCTAGATAAAAGTGGCCTGATTTTAGGTGTGTGTTTGTATTCTGCTTGCACCTTTTGGTTGAGCAACTTGCCAGAGACCCAGATGCTGGTATTGAGGGTCTTGTATCTCTCAATGTCATCTTCCTTTCTTCCACCTGACTTGTAGCATTCTTATGCATCTCATGTTTCTTTGATGTGCATGGCTTAGCAGAATCAGTCCAGACACCCTCGCCTTGCCACAAATGTGTGTACCACTCCAATGCCTCCCTAGAGACACATCTTCTGTCTGTCTCATGCCATATCCGCTGAATGGTTTCCACATTCATTTACTACCACTGCTAAACCACTTAGGTTCCTATTGTTCTGTCCCCCTTTTATATTTTATTTCCAAACAAGCACCCCTTCAGGCTCATATTTGCTCTAGTCTAAGGATCATGCTCTTGCATATTTATTGTCTCGGCAAAAGGTATCAACCTGAAGCCAGGCTGATCTGCCTTCAATGAGACAGGCTTGGATTATTTTTGCAATTCCCTCTTAAACTGATTTCTGTCCTGTATCAAATATAAATTGACGTTGTTGAAAGCTTCTGTGAAAATTTGTGAGTTCAACACCGACCCTTGAACGACACTAAAAAAACCCTACGTTTACAAAATCAGAAATACTATATGAACTAAAAAGCACTTGCGAATTGCTTTATAAAGACCTTTCACTAAAAGAGAAGCAGTTCTGTTAACATAATTTTTGCAAAAAGGAATGATTGTGCTTTTTAAGGGCTGAATTAGCTAATCTAATTAATGCCAGTGTGTTGTTCCAAGATTAGATACCTTAAAAGCAATCATAGATTTTCAGTATGTATTATGAATCTTTTGACTAAACTCCTGGTTCTTCATTGTGATTGAGTTGTTATAATATGAATAGACATCTGGACTGAATGCTTGTCCTCTAACATGTTGCCAGATCGTTTAGGGCCTGATTCTGTAACCCTTAGCCATATTGAGTAGCACTTATCCCCATGAATAATCCCATTGATTTCAAATTGATTTCATTGAGAGCTGCTAGGTACTTGGTGCTTTCGAAAAACAGGTCACATTTAGGTGCATGTGATGAGGGCCCCACGGCTCCTGCCCTTTTTGCTTTGCACAGACTGCTCAGAGACCTTCTCTCTTGTAGATACCCCAGTGCAGTTTATTTAGTGTTTCACTCCACCACTTTTCACATACTACTGCGGTCACTGTATTTTACAATGTTATCCAGCTTTGCTAACCCTTCTGCAAAAGGTGGGGGAGAAGGGAAGATGTCTCCTCCCCAAGAATTCCCATTTGCCTCCCTCCCCGCCCACCTGTTCACATGAAAGGGCAGATTTTGGCCCACTGAAGTTTTTAAATTAGCTACAAAGATTTCAGGAGAAACACAAGTGAGGGAAAGATTATTTTAGCCAAACCTAATTGCCTAATCTCGGGCTGTTTGGTAAATTCGTGGGTTTTTTTATTTCATGCCCACCAATACAGTGCTCTACACTGTACAAACAAAGAAGCCATGGTACCAATGCCGAATAACATAAAGTCTATTTCAGATTCACATAAAACAGTTCTCGTATGTAGACTGTAAGAAAACCTCTCTTTGTAAATGGTCTTGTAGTTACGGCTTTGGACTGGGACTCAGGAGATCTGGGGTCAGTTCAAGCTTTGCCACAAATTGGGTGTGAGCTTGGGCCAGTCATTTAATCTCTCCCGGTGCCTTAATCCTCTGTCTGTCAAATGGGATGATGATATTTCTTTCTCCCACCATTTGTCACATCTTGTCTATTTAGAGCTAAATTGTGACACCTATGCCGAGTACTATCTTACTCCTTGGGTAGTTCCATTGATTTCAATGGGATTATTTGTGATGTAAGGCACTACTCAACACAAATAAAGTTAACACAATCCGGCCCTTGTGTTGTAGGCTTTTCAGGGCAGGGACTTTTTCTCATTGTGTACTTGTACAGTGCTTAGATCCCTGATCTCAGCTGGGGCCCCTAGGTGCCATTGTAATACAAATAAATAGAGCTGTTCAGAAAGTTTTTTTTCCCCCATGGAACATTTTGAGTTTTGGAGAAAATATTTTGGCCAAACCCAAAATATTAAAATTTTGAACTGCCACCATGGTGCCTCATGGGCGCTGTAATTCAGGTACCCTGTGCTCTCATTGTTTTCTATATGCCAAGCTCCCTGGCTATACTACATGTCCCATCAGGCACCATAGTGTCACCTCATGGTGAGGTGGTATATAAAGGCAATGTGGCAGCAATGTGTGATGGGAGCTGAAGTCTGGGTGGGGAGACCAGCCCACAGAGGAGAATGGGAACATGGGGCACCTGAACTACGACCCCCAGGAAGCACTTCTGTAGCATTTCACAATAGAAATATTTTGATTTTCAGATTAAACATTTCATTTTCTGCTATTCCGTTTTTCTATGAAAAAATTGAATTCTGACACTTTGTGAAAAATTCCATTTAGTCGAAAACCCAATCTTCTGCTGAAAAACAGTTTGACAGAAAATTTGGAAATAAATAGTAATATTAATATCAAGAAAGACTACACCATATTGGGCTGATCCAGCTCCCATCAAAGTCATTGTGAGTCTATCCATTGACTTCATTAAATACCAGCTAACCAATGCAGTAGTTCTGCTGATACCAAATAGAAAAGAAAGGTACAAATATGTAGTTACTGAACCTAACAAAGAGACTGTCAAGATTGCAGTGACTCTTCCTAGTGAAACAAACAGAAAAGGCCCAGAACTGAAAAAAGCTGACATCTTGCCGACCCGCTGTCAGCTGTTTTGTTAGTTTTCAAAGCAGCAACACTGTTGTTTGTTGTTAATTGTTCCTTCCAGGTTCAGACACGGATGACCGTTAAATGCCTTCTGAAGGCACTTTTAAGTATGCCTTCCCACTATCGCTGTCTGTGCATCAGCCACCTCATCGGGTGGACAGCTTTCCTTTCCAACATGCTCTTCTTCACTGACTTCATGGGACAGGTAAGATATGTACACATCTCCTCACATACCCAAAAGTAATCTTCTCGTGGGATTGTTTTAAGCACTTGCCTATGCTGTGACAATGATGTCAGGGTCAGTAACTGCTAGAACAGCTGACTGAGAGTTTTGTAAAGGACAGATGAATGCCCTCAGGTCCTCATTATAGAACTAGATCTGTTGGGCAGCGGGGGCGGGGAAGGGCCTCCTGCCTTTTGATGTACATTTGGCGGAAAGAGATAAAATAATGATTTTAATCATGCTTCCTGGAACTTGCAAGGACGTCTATTCCCATTTAACTATTTAGAACAAAGCACAGAGATCTGTTGCAAACACACCAGTGCTCTGCTTTGGCTGTAAAGCTGCTCATTGAAAGTGTACTAATTAAAGACCTGCTGCTGCTTTGGAATAGGCTCTGCTTTGGTGCACTGGAGTAGCAGTCGCCATGCGCACCCTTCATCTGGAAGCATAACAGAAAAGCTTCCCTAGGGCAATACAACCCTAAGCAGCTCAGCCCTCTTGCCCCCTTTATGAACAGGCTTCCCCTTCCATGTCCTCTAGACTGTGCTGTGGTGCCTTCTCTGGAGCATGACATCAGCTCCTTGCCATCAGTGCCCCTGACGCTCTCCCTTCCTCCAAGCAGTTTCCAAACCAGGGGGCTCCCCGTCCTCTACCCTACCCATGTGGTTCTCCCTTCTTCTTGCCTCTCTGGCCCCAGCTGCTTCTTTTCAGTCAGGCTCCTGACTACATCCCCAGCAGCTGCTGTCCTTACCACTGGTTATCCCAACACCTCCCACCCAGCAGCCTGCTTTCTTCTGGCCCCCAACCATTTGCTAGGTGCCACTAGGGGAGAGGGAGTGTGCATGTGAATATATGGCAGCGTGGGAGAGAATGGGTGAGAGGTGAATAAGAGACTCAGTCTGACAGAGAATGAATGGAAGGAAGAGTGTATGCGTGAGTGTAAGGATGAGTCTGAGAGAGAGAATGAATGGCTGTGGCAGAGTGAGAGGGACTGAGAATGACTGACTGTAGGCAAGTGAGGGGGGATAGGTGGTTGAAAAAAGGGAGGGGTAGGTTGGGAGGAGAAGAGCGGAGGAGGACAAGGAAGAAAGGAAGCAAAAGGCAAAGTGAGAAAAAGGAGAAAACAGAGCCCTAGAGAATGGATAATCCGGAGAGAAGAGGAGGGCAACAAGAAGGGTGGGATGCAAGGCAAGTGTGAGAGGGACTGTGGGGAGCTAGCTGAGGGAGATAAACAGGGAAAAGGGGGAGGAACTTGAGAAGAGAGGAAGAGAGAGATGGTGGGAAACTGGGAGGGAGGGAGAGTCCCAGTGGGTGGGAAGAGGCAAGAACAGGTTAGAAAATAATAAAGAGGGAGGGAAACAGAAAATGGAAGTGAGAGGGGAGAGAAGAAAAGAAAAATAAAGTGCACCACTTGAAGGAGAGTTGTGTAATTGGTCTCTAGTTCTCTCCCCACCTGAAGGATATTAGGTCCTACACTGGGAACTCTGGTTCCTTTGGATGTGAGACTCTGTGTGAATGCAGAGCACTCACCTGCACTTTGTGGTGTATTTCAGATAGTATACCACGGAAATCCTTATGCGCCACATAACTCCACAGCTTACCTTACCTATGAAAGAGGAGTCGAGATTGGATGTTGGGGCATGTGCATCAATGCAATTTCTTCATCGCTCTATTCCTGTAAGTACCCGGGAATGTACTCTGGCACTGTGTTTCAGAATGGGTTTGATACTGTACATCGTTTCCCATGTTTAAAAAAAAAAAAATCTACGGTGTGCAGTGTTGTTGTAGCTGTGTTGGTCCCAGGACATTAGTGAGACAAGGTGGGTGAGGTGATATCTTTTATTGGACCAACTTCTGTCGATGAGAGAGACTATCTACTGTTTTTTAATATTAAAACCTTTCAGAAATGTTACAAGGACCAGATCCACAAAGGGACCTCGGCGTGGCAATGCCTAACTTTTGGGCATCTAGCAAATCACAGGAACAAAAATGGGATCCACAAAGCCTGAGCCTCATGTGCAGACTCCCTGTACAATGAATGGGGAGAGACAGGTGCCTTAAACTGTGATTCAAAAGAGCCAGCACACTAGGTGGGGAGCCACCTTAGCTAGCTAATGGGAGATGCTGACAAGAGGGGTGTGTCCTACGCCTCACCTTTCTCTCAGAGATAGGCACCTGGTCCATGATTGGGACCCTACTCTCCTGAAGTCAGGTGGCTTATGCACCTAACTCCACAGAAGAAGGAGGGATGGTGGTGCTGTTGCTGCCCACTTTATAACTTTCAGCCTAGGGATGTGGAAGACCCAGGTTCAATCCCCATTTCTGCCTAAGGTGGAGAAAGGATCTGAACAAGGGTCTCCTACCTCTCAGGAGAGGTGCTCTAACTACAGGGCTATGAGCTATTCTGATGTGGGGCATCCTCTTTCTCTCCAGTTTGAAGTTGTGCCTACCCTTTATGGCTCTGAGCCCAAGTTTTCGTTCCATTGCAGTGGGACTACTCAGGAAGTGAGGTACTATTCAACAGGAGAGGTGGCCCATAAGTATTAAAAATGACCCAAAGGCGAATGCTGGAGGTAGAATGGATACACTGGGGATAGTTCTAAGGTTCTGTTTCACCTAGCAGTCCTGCCGCTGTGGCCCATCTCTTCATGGCCTCTCCCCACCGGTGCGCCTCACAAGAGAAAGTCAACACAATGTATTGCAAGACCTTGCGATAAAAATGAATCTTGCCCTGCAATATCATTGTGTAAATGTGTTAGCCCATGGCCAAAAATCTGCTTATTAGCCCTTGGCATGGTGATAAGGGAATAATATATAAAAAACTGTTCAAAAAGCTTTCACTTTCTCTGTAGGCAGAAAAGTGAGTAGACTTTTGGAGGGCTGAGCTATGCATCTAATAAAAAGGCCTTATTGTAATCCTGTGTAGATCCTTTCCTATCCAAATCCTATCCTGTAAGCAAATCTTTCCTTTTGGCTCTCAATTGCAGATATTTGTGTAATACCTCCTTCAACTCCAACAGGAATGTCTAAAACTGATGTCAAATGCTCCTGATGTCAAACAGTGGATCTGTTTGTCTTCATCCCAGCTTGTCAAAGAGATTCTCTTATAACTGAATGCTCGAAAGAAATACTATTGCAATTACTAGGTTGGGTTATTTTTAGTCTCAATAGTTTTTCCCCCCTTTCTTTTCACAGACTTGCAAAAAGCTCTTCTGCCTTGTATAGGATTAAAGGGACTTTATTTCATTGGATACCTGCTTTTTGGGATAGGCACTGGGTTTATTGGACTGTTTCCCAAGGTATATTCTACTCTGGCTCTGTGCTCGCTCTTTGGAGTCATGTCCAGCACACTGTACACTGTCCCGTTCAACCTCATTGCAGAATATCACAGGGAGGAAGAGGTGAGTTTAATGTCTAGGTAAAGAAGGAATTGGTATTGGTCTTGTTTTGTTTGGTCCATTTTAACTGGAGAAGGGGATTTATTTTCATTTCAAATGGTGCCACGGGGGGAGGTGGAGTTTCAAATGTACAGAGCTTCAAGAGTGTGGTGATAAACAATGCTAATATTACAAATCATTTGCCATTATAAAGCACTTTTCACCTGAGATCTCAAAGAACTTGAGAAACATAAATGAAGCTTGTGCCAACCCTGTGAGAGAGGTAAGGACTGAATCAGTTTAGGGAACTGCGGCACAGAGGTAAGGCCCCAGTCCTGCAAGTCACTCAACTCAGGCAAACCCATGTGTTTGCATGGAACCCCACTGATGCCAATGGGTTTCTGCAAAGGGTGTTTGTCATGTTGTGGGGTGCAATCCAGACTAGTGAGGGATTATGTCACTGCCTGCCCTGTAATCCTGGGTGCCTTAAATGTTCTGCTGCTGCGGCTCCCAGCCTGGTCACCAATAGGCAGCAGACAAGTATTGCACTGAGCGTCTGTGTATTAAGCAGCTCCAGTTCAGCAACCCTAATTCCAGTAGCCTGCTATGCTCTGGTCTCCACCAGCCTTGGTCACTATTCGCCAAGTGACTCCAACACACTCCCAGTCCCGACTTTGCAGAGCACGGAGTTTGGGGAAATGTCCAGCCCTTTCCTGGACCATTCAGAGAAATATTAAGGTTCATTTGCTCCTCTAAAGAGACTGGAGTTAACAATCACTTTGATTCACACAAAACACTGGGTTGGCTTAGGTTACAAGTAAAACAAGTTTATTAATGGAAGGAGATAAGATTTTACGTGGTACCAAGTAGAAGGAATAAAGTTAGAAAGGGTTACAAATGAACTAAAGTAAAAATAAGCTTTCTAGTGACTCTGACTTAACAAAATCACAGTGTTGGTTCAAAGTAAGGTTCTTCTCACACTTCCTTCCAGCAAGATGGCTGGCCTGCCCCTTGGTCAGGATCTCCCACAAAGCCCAAGTGCTTGGTTCCTTTGTCTTCTTAGGTGACAGCTCACTTGAGGATCTTCTCCTCCCCCCCTTTTATAGTCCAGCGAACCTTTGAAATGGATTCTTCTGAAGGTTACCCCTTCCCCCCAAAATAAAGTTCATTCAAGCTGTGAGGAAGGAGACATGGAGTCTGGTGGCTAAGGAAATTCCATGCTGGTTTCTTCCCCTGATGGTGTTTGCTAAAATGAAAATTAATCTGTTTCTGCCCACTCTGCTGCAAATAAATGGCCACTTGACATGTGATTGGCAAACGACTCTGATGATACCTGGCTGGAGGTGTTGGCTTGTCTTTTGTTTGGGAGAAACCTGTTTACACACTCCCCAGACTTATCTGGTAAACACATTTTAGTCTCACATTTTCTTCATGTTTGTATGGTCCCTTGAGCATTTATTGTGCATATCCCACACAAGACTATTAATGATCAGCGTGTTATTGGTTTTCCAGTGATACCTTACATGATACATATCAGGTACAGTTTATGACATTAATGAGTTGGGGTACACGGAACTGGTCACACCAGCTGAAACTCTCTACCAGATCTCAGGGAGTCCCTGCTCTCTGGCATTGGGATGCTTTTAGGTACAGTGTCCACACAGAGCTCCTTGCAGGATTGGATCTGAAGAGCTTGTCCACACATGACGTCTTTCTGATATAAGGTAGGGTATGAATTTAGAGTGGAATAGCTGTTCCAGAATAACTCCATGTGTAAACAAGCCCTAAGTGACTTACCTGAGGCCACATAGGTAGTCAAGGATGGAGTGGAAATATAACCTACAAGCTGTGGTTCCATCTTGTGCTTTAACCACTAGACTACACTTCCTCGTGAGCAGGAGGGGGAAACATTCAGCATTCTGAGACAGGCATTTGTTTATCATCACATGTTTCTTAAATCCAGGTGTGGTACATATTTGAACAGTGTTTAGCACAAAGGGGCTCCAATCTCTGATTGGGGCTCCCAGAACTGCTATCATACAAATCAATAATCATATACAACATACATAATCGGTTTTACAAGCTAGGTCTGTGCACAACTCTGTTCCTGCCAACAAGCCTGGGGGCTGGATCCTCATCTTGTATAAATCAGTGAAGCTCTATTTACATCAGTGGAGCTGAGCCAGTGTACACTAGCTGAGAATGCAGGTGAGTCCCTAAAGTATATAACCAAAACGTGTAAGGAAATGTAAATAGCTTAGTTAACTAAAAGTATTATACAAATGATTTGTTAAAAGAAATGGAACTTTATGCACTTCAGCATTAAATTATCTGAATAAAAAAATAAGGTATTTGTTATGCTAGAATAGAGATTTATAGGAAAATGAACCAGCCTGTAGTGATACAATAATTGCCCTACCAGATCAAATTTAGCCTTGCATCCTGTCTCTGAGAGTGGTAGCACCAAATGGTTTAGAGGAAGGTACAAGAAATCCCATAGTGGACAATTATGACATGCCCTGCCATTGGTGACATTTCTTCCTGACCTCGGTGAGAGGCTCATGCCTTGAAGCATGTGTGTCATCCCTTTAAAAACTGCTTTTATCCTGTATAGTATAAGCTTCTCATTATCCATACAAATGTTTGGAATCTGTGTGCAAGCCTGCACAGTGGGAAATACAATTCCAAAAGAAAACCTTGAAAGGACTTCATTTCTTATGCTCAATTATATCCTCTTACTCTGCACAGCAGGTCCTTCATGTCATGTAAGTTAAGGTGTTAAGCTCGTTAAAAGAAAGTTCTCTCAAGTGTCTTAAGTTGGTGAGAGACTCTGAAACATGAAAGATTAATAAGAATTTGGAGGACTTGATCTTTAGAAAAGTTTTCAATATAGGCTGGAACTGGAAACTTTGGGGAGATGAATAAATGAAATGCGAGCAAAGCGAATCATAATACAGTATATATGGCTGCAAGCAGTGCGTGGCTAGATTGAGTCAGTGAGAGTACAGCAACTATAAGAGCAAGTGAAACTGCAACCTGACACTTGAAAGATGACTTACAGAAAGCTCTTATTCCAATGAATCCTTGGAGGGTATTTTTAATGTGGTGGAACATTTCCCAGAATTGACTTTTAATTTTGCCAGTTAATTTCTCTGTTCTTGGCAGCCCAGATCAGTTGTCACTAAGTATTTTAGAAAGACTTAATAAGGGATGGGGATGAACCACAAAGCTAAAATGTGGGGAGGAGAGGAAAGGGAAACTGAAACCAAAGTTTCAGGTTAGCCCATTATACGAGATGCATAATGCAAATCTAGCTCTGGGCAGGTTCAGGGATGCTGGATTCAGACCCATCTGTCACTAGATGTAATTGAGTTAAAAGTTATGCAAGTGGAAATGTGTAGTTCATATTTAATAGGCCAATGTCCTCAAAGAGATAATCAGAAAAGAACCAGTTGCTTCTGCTTTGATGCCTGCTTCTTGATTTAACTCTGTTGGATGGTATGGTTTCACCAGTTCTGAAACTAACAAAGTTAGTTTTAATCTCAAACCTTCTAAAATATACAAGCTAGAGTAACGAAAAAGCATCTCATAGTTGGCTGTATTTGTTAAAAAACTGATGTACCTGTCTTTGGAACCGTAGCCACATCATGGGAATAAGCACAGCCCAGTAAAACATTCACCATTTCAATAAAAACTATGATTTGAATCCAAAATCCCCCAGATGACTTGCTTTTTGCATGACGTAGTCAAAAATAAATGTGGTTGGATCACGTTATTCAAGAAAAGCATAGAACAAAGAGCAGACCTTTTTAATCAATGGGCTTTCTATGAAAACGGAACTGCACCAGGATGTAAACTATTGGCCTCTCAATTCCACTTGTGTATTGAGCACAAAGCTCGCTTGTTCCCTGTTATTTGAGTATGGTTATCTGTAGCTGATTTGGAAGACACTCGGGATAGGATCCATGATGGGACTTAGGTGTTGTAGTGCTGAGAGTCACAGCCCCTAACTTTAGATGGGAATGAATGAGGAGGAGGAGGAGGAGGTGGTGATGGCCACCCTATAACCCAGTGGTTCGAGCACTAGAGAATAATTCCCTCTGGCCCAATGACTATTTAAGTATTTATCCACAGTCATTGGGCTGGAGCGCAAGCAAGTGAGGGAATGACTCTGTAGCCTGGTGGTTAGGACACCTATGTAGGAGACCCTGGGTCCAGTCCCCCTGCTCCAGTCACTATTTAATCCAAAGTGGAACAGCTTCAAGAGGAGAGACTGAGGCAGTCACACTTTAGACTCTCTCAGAACTCACTGGTTTGAGCAGGTGAGAGACCCACTGTGCTCCAATCCCTTTTCCCCTCTGACAGAGGTGGGGGATTGAACTGGGTCTTCCACATTCCAGGCCAGTGCTCTATCCAAAGTTATAAGGTGCCTCCCCTTCACCCACCCCCTCAATTTTGAATGGGACCTGATCTGGTTGGCATGCTCAGAGGCCGCCAACAGGATTGGGCCCTGCACCTCACTTAGGTGGCCAAATGGGCCCTTCTTCCCCTGGTTTGTGAATCGCTCTGGAGCGTAGGTGGGAGATAGGCATCTGGGCATTTAGAGTGGGGCAGCTGTGCACATGGTCCAAAACGTAGGTATCTAGGGAACTTTGGCAGTGGAAAGTTACGCACCAAATGAGTTTAGGCACTTACAGGGATAAGCGGCAACCAAGTGGGAGGGCCAAGTCACCTCTACAGTGGGAATAGGCTGAAGAGTGTTGTGGGGAACTGAGGCTGACCCTCACCACAAGAGGGCTCTCCAGGATGATGAGTCATGTAGCAATTTCCCATAGTTTTTTTTTTTAAATTGAGTCTGAGTAGCATTTTGAAATACAATATGAAAAGCACTTAAAGAAATCAACAAGCATACTTAACAGCACAGGGCGTTGTGTTCCCTGAGCTAGCTGCCTACCCACCATAAAGCACTGAAACTCTCCTTATCTCTTGCTCTTTGATCTTGCAGTGAGCGCTTACCGCAAATCCTCTGTGTTCAGGAGTCTGCAAGAGGGGCAAAGTGAATCTATAAATTATCACTTAATTTTAGTTTCACAAAGAGAAGCAGAACTGAGTCCACACATAAGAAGTAAGACAAATCTTGTGTTTTGCTACTTAGAAATAAATGGATTTTATGGTTTTGCACCAGCTGTTTGACCCCCAGCATTGATAACAGTATTTGCTATGCAGAACTATAGACTATAGATGGTTTTCAGATATGAAGGGCTAAATCCAGCCTTGTGCTAGGCTGGTACACTGCAGGCGAAGGTAGAATGGCTGCTGTTCAGCATTAAGCACTAACTAGTGGCATGGTGAGGTTGTGGTATGGACTGCTCAGAGACCCACCAAAGTGCACTCCCCACCACGGAACCCCATTACAAGGGATCTTGGTGTGTGTATATGGGTAGGATTCCTGTTGCTTAGGATACCTCACCTGGGTGCAAGTAAGGCTGTTGTTTTGACACTCAACCTTTTAAATAGGTTGGGGCCTAGACTATATATCCCTCTCTCCCATATGTTTACTGTGACTGCTGCGATCCGCCCAGGAAGCAGGGCAGTCTTGGTGCATGGTCCTCTATTGTGGAATTCTCTTCCTGGCTTGGTTTGCCAGAGGCTGAATCTGCTGACCTTCAAGTCATGCTGCAATGTCTGGGCGTGGCTATAGAAGAAGATGTGTTGGGAGAGGGTAATGGGACAGTTGAGGGTTGTGTGGAGATTTGGAGAGTTTGTCATTGTTTGTAAGGACTGTATCTGAATGATTGTTTTCATTCTGTAACTACTTCACATGCACCCAGGACATGGGACTAGCACATCTTAGACACCAGAAGACTAAAGAGAGAGCAAGCAAGCCAGCATCCATTGTTGGCAGCAGCTATCTCATGATCTGGCAATAGCTGCATGTAATACAATGGTTTCCCTTCAGAACACTGTAGTCGGTGGTTAGAGCACTGACGTGGGACTCAAGACATAGGTTCTATTTCTGATTCTGCTGCTGGGTGATCTTAGGCAAATCATTTCGCTGCTCTGTGCCTGAGTTTCCCCACCTGTAAAATGGGGAGAATGATAGTGACTGCCTTTGTAAAGCATTTTGAAATCTACTGATGAAAAATTCTGTACAAGAGCTAGGTATTATTGTGTATTAATCAGTTGTCTCATTTGATTGGGTTTCATTTTATGCTTATTTGCAGAATCAAAAGGAACAGAATGGAGGAGAAGCTGAGGCCACTGGAAGAGGGAAGGGAATTGACTGCGCAGCTCTCACTTGCATGGTGCAGCTGGCACAGATCATTGTTGGAGTGGGTCTGGGGTTCTTGGTCAGTGCTGCAGGCAGTGTAATAGTGGTTGTGATTTGTGCATCTGCTGTGGCATTAACAGGCTGTTGCTTTGTTGCTTTCTTTGTTCGGTATGTGGAATAGAACAGTGCATAGATGAAGGAAGAAATCCCCACGGGAACATTGTCATTCTTGATCTGTATCCATTGGGTGCAGTTTCTACACTGATATTTTTATAGCACGCTCTTCTTTCATTGGCTGGAGTGGTTAAAATTCCAGGGCATTATTTCTCCAGAGTGGAAATACGTGGTAAAATTGGTGGCCTCACTTCTCAGGCTGTAAGATCTCTCCATGACTTTCCTTCCTCTGCCCCAATTTTGTGTTAACATGTAAGCCACTTTCATACATGGCAGTGTAATGCTCTTCATCATTAGTGGTAATGCTCATCATTAGCCAAGCTGGAGAAGAGAAGAGATGAAATGTGTGGCAAAAAGAATGTATCCAGTAAGAGTGAAAGCTGGGGTTACTGATCCCAAACTCCAAGGAGGTACTTTTAAGATGGGGGTTCTTAACCTGGGGTCATGGTCCCAAGGAGGTGTCAAGGAGTCACACCCAGTGCTTAATTTGTGCCAGGGCTGAACCCCGGCACCTCTAGGCTTGGCAGTTCATAGCCCTGGCACCTCTGGGCTTGGCAGTTCATAGCCCCAGCACCTCTAGGCTTGTCACATCAGTTATGAAAGTAAAAAAATTGCTTGATGTCCAGCACCTAATTGCTTGAGCCCCAGGACCTTCATTAGAGATTAAGCACTGGTCACAACCACTGTGTCCTTTCAGTATTGCCAAATGGGAGAGGGGTTCTGGCTAGATGATGAGCGGGCGTAGTATGGAAAAGTGGATCCTGGTATGGAAAAGGTTGAGAAGTCCTACTTTAAGGTATATCCCACTACTGGACAGCTTTATGTGGTATGTTGTGCTTATATAAATGTGAAAGAAAAACATAGAACAAGATTTTCAAAGATGGATGCCTAGAGACGGGCTCCTAAGTCCATATTATCAGAGGGGTAGCCGTGTTAGTCTGAGTCTGTAAAAAGCAACAGAGGGTCCTGTGGCACCTTTAAGACTAACAGAAGTATAGGGAGCATAAGCTTTCGTGGGAGTATGCTCCCTATACTTCTATTAGTCTTAAAGGTGCCACAGGACCCTCTGTTGTTTTTTAAGTCCATATTGAGGCACCTAAATAGGGAGTCAGTGGGAAGCTGCTGGGAGTTGAGCAACTTTGAAAATCTAGCCCCTTGTTTAAATGTCTAAAATTATGCACCCATTTTTAAAAAATCTTGGCCAAAAATTCTAAAATTTGTGAGCCACCTAAAATGTTCAAGCTGAGTGATACAGTACTTACCTTAACTGAATGAATTCAGACCTGTTTGCTCTCCTCTTTTGCACATAAGAGTCTAACTTGATCAAATTCTTGTTTTGCTTCTTTCACAGCATTCAACAGAATATTATTGTAACTTAATTCAGTTCCACAAAGCATGACCATGAATTGTTCTATATCCACACCTCAAACCAATATATTAAATCCTATAGGCAAACCAGTCTTTTATTTGAGTACAGAGTTTGCATCTTTATTTTCATTAAAACATCAGAATTTGTTACAGGGAGCTTCTCCTGAATCATTCCATCCAGATTCAAGTCAGTTTCAAATTGGACCATAAAAGGTTAAGATTAAAGATATCTGAATGAGCTTTAGAGACCTGGTTCTGTATTCCTTACTAACTGGAGTCAAGTTTGGTGTACTTAAGAAATACTGGACCAGACCTGTTATTAAGTTGTATTCCTGGCTAAAATGTATCCAGAAGGAGCATTGAGCTGCTTGCTTCCAAAGTGCAGCATTTGTTTTTAAAGCGAAGTGTCTTTATTTGTGGTGTGCATCTTCTGTTCTGGTGCCGTTCCTATCCATGTCCCATGTTACGTGCTAAGCCACATGAAGCCTTCTGTTAATGCAATATTATTACGCAATCCCACAGTGAGGGATCGTTGCCAGATATTTTTTCTAAAAAGTACTGTACGGTTCTGACCAGCACCATTCAGTCAAATGTGTTATTGACTTCATCGCACAGCGAAGTACCAGCAAGCGGCATGAAGTGACAACCCTGTGCGTGTTGCTCGGTTTTTGATTTGAGTGCTGGGGTGTTTTTGTATTGACATGCCACCTTGATGCATTCTTCTATGGTTTTCGACTCTGCCAAGCGTTTCACATAATGTTATAAAACTCTCTTTCGCTCTCCCGGTCATTGTGACGGGGTGTCCACCCCACACAAGGCAGAGCAGCTTGTTGGGCTGCACTTCAGAGACAGTGAAGGCCTGAAAAGCAAACTGATGATGGATCCCAGCTGGACAGGGGCAGGCTGTGCTTAGAATCATAGAATATCAGGGTTGGAAGGGACCTCAGGAGGTCATCTAGTCCAACCCCCTGCTCAAAGCAGGACCAATCCCCAACTTGTATAAAGCCAGCAAGCTGAGAGCAGAAGAGGGCTGTAAGTGGCTGAAAGTAGCATGCAGTCTCTCCCTGGGAAAAGGGAGGTGTGTCTGGAGCTATACAGTCTGGCAAGAAGCCAAAGAAAGGAGTAGTCTACAGTTATTCCCTGGGAGGAGGGAGTTTGGGCCGGTAAACACAGAGGAGGGGGCTAGAATATAGAGCAGGGAAGTAGGAATGAATCTAGGGAAATAGCAACAGGGTTTGGGAGCAAGCAGCCTGGAGTTCCTTGACAGAGGGTCCCTGAACTGGAACCCGGAGTAGGGGATGAGCCTGGGTTCCCTGACAGCCACTGAGAAAGTAATGTAGGACCTGTCCTTGGAGCAGAAGGCTGTCTAGAATGGCATGTGGGCAGCTGACTAAGTGGGACTTTGATACCCCAGAAAGGGAAGACTATACAGGGAGCTGGCCAGAGGGCTGAGACGTGAAGAGGGAGAGCTGCGAGTCCTGGAGAGCAAGGGGTGGGGGAGGCCGTGTGAACAACGGTTGGAAGGGGGGCATCGGACCTGAGTGGAGCTAATTCCTGGATCTAGCTACAAGGAGGCACCCAACAGTAAGCCCTTGGAGGTCAATTATCAAACGTGTTTCCTTGCTGACATTTGGGACTTCAGTGAAGACTCATACTGGGGAATTCCAGTCTCAGTCCTTGGGCATCTGCATGGTGTACCTTTCCCCTCTCCCCCAACATTGTTCTCATCCCTCCTGACAGCACAGCTCATGACACCCCCCCCCCCCATTGCATTGCTGCCCGTTAACCTCTCTCCCTTATTACCTCTGCTGTGTGATTATGGAGAGAGAGCATCAGTGGAGTCAGGCTGGGGGGCTCAAAGGGTGGCTTGTCAGCTCTGCAGCATGTTCTCCCCTCCCACCTGATCTTGCTGAAGTCCATTTACCAATGCTGTGTTGCATTTGCGCTCCCATAGCCAGGGATGGGACAGAAACTAAAACACATCCTCTACTTCTTTAAGATTCCAGAATAATATTCCCGTTGAAGTGTCTCCTACACAAAAAGGCATCCACCCCAAAATACAAATATCCTGATTAGAAAATGGGAAAATTCCAGGTGTGTGCATCTTATGGAAAAAACCTTTTAAATGGCACCAAAACCAATCTTAAATATTACAGGTCCTAAGCAGGAAACAAAGGTTCGCTTCAGCACTTTGAAAATGTTACAGATATTGAACGTGTTCACTGTAGTTCATTTCAAGGGTTCCACCAATTCTGCCCTTTTAATTTTATTTCAATGCATGGACCAAATTATAAATAGCATCAGTTACTGCATTTAATAGTGGACTGATGGGTGCTTTTAACTGAATAACATGGGCTATGAAGTCAAGAAGACATTGAGCTTGGTACTGGTCATCCAGTTTTACCTCGATATAAATAGGATCCAATATATAAAGACCTGATGTGGAGTATAACCAAATAGAGTGAGAGAGCGAGCGTGCGTGTGTGTGTGTGTGTAGGCAGGCACCCTGTTCAGGTGTTTGTCTAACCCAGTTGTTCTCAACCTGTGAGCTGCTTGTGGCCCAATCATCACACAGCTGTGGCCCATGTGACATCCTCAGGGCCATACAGGAAGAATATGTATTTACACCTGGGGGAATTCTGTGCCACTGTGCATGTGCAGAATTCATGTCCGGTGCAGAATTTTTTCCCCCCCGCAGAAAATACATTCTACCTGAGAAATGCTGCAAGCCTGTCTTTCACTCACCAGAGGCCATTGTGGCACCAGAACAGCTAGCAGCTGGCTGCATTTATCAGAGCACCCTGCCCATTGAGCCAGGTTACAACAGACAGAGTGGGGCACATGGGGCTACTGGGGGTCACAGACTGGGGTTCAGAATGGCTAGTTGGGGGGACAGACTAGGGCTTGGGTTCAGGAGCTAGTGGAGTGACATCATTGAGCCAGGAGCTGAATGGCAGGGGTGCTGCAGGGCCACATGGGGCAGGAGGGAGGGGGCTGCAGGGACACATGGGGAGAGGGCAGATGTGCCCAACTGAATGGAAGAGGCTTGGGATCAGCAAGGGTCTGCATGGGGGAGGCTCCACAATTCCCTAACAATCCCCCCACCAAAAAGCCCCTGTTCCATACTTCTCCCACCCACCCTCTAGATTCACTTCCAGGCTCCTTTCCTCTCCCTCAGCTCCTCTGTTACTCCAACTCCCCCAAGCCTTTGCACTGCTTCTGAGGGGTGCAAGAAATACATTTCTGTATTGCAGTTTAAATGAATTACTCAAAGTTCTGTATTAATATGCCTAGTAATGAATCTATTTGTCAAAAAAAAAAACATTTTGTTGTCTGTATTGTTACAGACATATTTGCTGACAGGTATTTTGAAATAAATTACCAAAATAATTGAAGCTGGCATGATTGTATTTTGTTATTTTGACAAATAAAATATGCAGAATTTTAAAATATTCTGGTCAGAATTGTTGTTTTTTTGGTGCAGAATTTTTAATTTTTTGCACAGAATTCCCCCAGGAATAACATATTGTGTGGATGCATATGCAACCCATAATGGTAAATAAGCTGAGAACCACTGGTCTAACCTGTTACTATAAACCTCCAATGATGGGAATTCCATGATCTCCTATTTCAGTACTTAACTATTCTTAGAAAGTTTTTCCTCACATCTAACCTAAGTCTCCTGTGCTGCAGATTAGGCCCATTACTTCTTGTCCTACCTTCAGTGGACATGGAGAACAATTGATCAGCATCCTCCTTATAGCAGCTCTTTTCATATTTGAAGACTGTTATCAGGTTCCTCCCCCATCCCTCAGTCTTCTTTTCTCAAAGCTATACATGCCCAGTCCTTTTTAAATTTGTCATCACAATCATGTTATCTAAGCCTTTTATCATTTTTGTTGCTCTCCTCTGGACTCCCCAATTTGTCCACATCATTCCTGAAGTGTGGCACCCAACACTGGACACACTACTACAGCTGAAGTCTCGCCAGGGCCAACTAGAGTGGGACAATAACCTCTCAGGTCTTAGAT